TGTGTTACGGGGCATTTTTTATCGACCAAACAATTAACACGAGGACAAGGAACAATGGAAAGACGATCGTAAATAGACGTCGAAACACTGGAAGAACCACTAACAATGAGGATTGAGAAAGGATGGCTTGAAAAAAGGCGTATAAACCAGAAGCAAAACCGCGATATGAAGGCAATGGCTAACAGCAACTCAGCTACAGCAACCACGAGGCCTTAGGCAGCAACTGCGCATGCGCAAGTCTCACACAGCTGGCCAGCACTCCACTCCCAGTTAACTTTGCTTAAATTTAACCACATTAAACATTATTATTATTATTATTAACTAAGTGATGGACTGACTGACTGACCTATGCCAATCATAATCCATTTAAAGCAACAATCTGTCATTATTGAATCTTTCTTCTTACCTTAGATGCCACCAGAGCTGATAACTTTCTGTGTTTAAATGTCTCATCTTCATATAATACCTCACTATCAACAATGCACATGGTTATTAAGTTATGAAAATGTATAATAAAAACCTTTAAGTCACAAAGATGGTCAATGATTGTATAGTGATTAGAGCAGTTTTCGTATGACCGTGAAAAGCTCACAGCACGAACACAGCCACGGCAAAGACCCAGCCAATCAAAAATCTAAAAAACATCATGGTCGCGGCAAGACACAAACTCTTCATCCCATCAAATGCACAAAACATGTCACAAACACAACACGACGCGGACATGGCACTGCTAGACCAATCACAATAAGCAAGAGAAAAGAAAGCCAATCAAATTTCTAGGAAGCATCTCGGTTGCGGCGCGGCACTGAACTTTTCACAGTCATACTAAATCTGCACTATATATCACAACTACTAGTAATCCACTGTTATCCAGATAAATATAATAATAGATATTCAACTGAACTAATATCTATTTGATAGGTAATACCTCCACATGATGAAAATATAATCATCAAAATCTCTTACTTACATCTTAGCAACTGATTCAGATATTTCTGCCCAGAAGTCATCCATAATGACATTCAGCTTGTCAAGAGCATAAACCTGCATTATAATCAACAGTTGAAAACAAACTAGTCTAAAATTCTGAATCAAATAGAACGAATTTAGTCACTTTGGACAACCCTGGACAATCTTGGGTTCAATCCTTCACTATCCAATCCTCTCTCTTACCTCATGTCAGTCACCACGAACAACAGTCTTACTGGAGACTACTCTCACCGAGACTATCACACATGACACTCATCATATAATTCTGGGTTAAAACTCTTCACTCTATTCAATCTTCTCTCTTACCTAATGACATTCACCACCAGCAACAGTCTTACTGGAGACTACTCTCACCGAGACTATCACACATGACACTCATCATATAATTCTGGGTTCAAACTCTTCACTATCCAATCCTCTCTCTTACCTAATGTCATTCATCACCACCAAGAGTCTTACTGGAGACTACTCTCACCCTGACTATCACACTGAACACTCATCAAAGATTCTTCATTTCAAACTCTTCATTCTATTCAATCCTCTCTCTTACCTGACGTCAGTCACCACCAACAACAGCCTTTCTAAAGACTACTTTCGCGTGCACTGACCATAAAACTCTCAAACCCTTCACTTTATCACTGAACTTCTTATTTGCCACATGAAAACAAGTCAGTCCCCTTGGAAAAGATTGGATTGGCACAAATCTTAAATGACCAGAAAACTGCATACCTTTAAGTCTGATTCTCCCTCCTCAAGAAGAGCTAGTATACCAGCTTAAAAAGAAAGACAGACAGCAAAGAATATCGTTAAGTTTTCTGTATAACTATTTACTTGGTAAAGAATAACGATAATTAGTTTAACGATGACTTAACATTAGATTTTGTTAAAGGAATGATGTATAACGTGATCAACATGAAGTGATCTTGAACTGTCAGAAATCAAAGTCACTTGAAAATCTTAAATTAAATAACTTATATAGAAAATATCTTATTAAGGCATGTTTATTTTTCAATAAATTGATGATTTTTTTCAAACAAATTAGATGAATCTAGCAGACAAGTACAAATGTCTTGAGTTTTTACACCAATTTTGCTTAGTCATTGAACGATTTTACTAAAACAGCACCCTTAACTACCCCAAATTTTCGCTTCAAATACCAAAGTAAAAAGAAAAAAAGTTACACATTGAATTCTTGAATACCTGCTGAAGTGAGATGTGTCTTCATGATGTTGTAAAGCCAATAAATAATCGGTTATTTCCAAGTTAAATCAGCCTCATGAAGGAAGAAAAAGCTTTTCTTTTGATTGTCTGCCGGGTAATGCTGCGAAACCTGGCCGCACTTACTCCAGCCTCGTCTCCATACACAAACACAGGGAGCCCAATGATAGTCTTGCTGTAAAATATATATATATATACCCCCGAATTTCTATCCATTCTTTTTTTATTTTTTATTTTTATTCTAAAAAAATTATACCAAGCAAAAAYATAAGTATGTTAACAAAAGGATTTATTTCTATATATACATTTTTCATTTAATTTTTGAAGAGATTGTAACTTTGGGCTCCCTGTGTTAAAGTCAAAGCCAAGTCACTGAAAAATCACTGAAAAAATCTGTCGCGTCGGGAARTTTGAAAAATCTCATTTTGTTAACTTGTCAACTTTGGGCTCCCTGTGTTAAGTCAAAGCCAAATCACTGAAAAATCTCATTTTGTCAAGATGCCAAAGAAGCCAGATCACTGTAAAATATCATTTTGTCTATATGTCAACCCTGTGTAAGTCAAAGCCAAATTACTGAAAAATCTGCCGCATCGCGAATTTTAAAWAGTAGAAAAATATCATTAAATAGGTTTCTTTAATATTATTGAAATTAGTGGTGAATAGGGCTACCTGACGTGGCGAGTAGTTCTCGCTCTCACAGAACTCTTATGGCAGTATTGTCAATTATAAGAGAATATGGGAATATCTTTCTCAGTTGCCTCAAGAGTGAGCTCCAAGCAACACCCAGTAACTTACTTTTGATTTGTCTATTGTGGGTAGTTGTGAAATACAAAAAAACTAAGGCTGCGTTCATAATGTATGGCAGGGGGGGGGCAGATGAAATTAAGGTGGGATCACGGGAAAATTTTGGTCGGAAAAATGGGGGGATGCACAATTTTAGGAAGAAGCTACAAGCCTTGCTTAGGGGGGATGGTATTTTTTGCATGACTTTAAGGGGGGTGTTAAGAATTATTCTGGACATTTCAAATTTTCACCTGCCCCCCCACCCCCCACCCACCCCTCTGCCATACATCATGAAGGCAGCCTAACCTAAAATAATTAGATTTACCACCCCCAAGGAGAACAGTTTCTTGAATTAGAATGTGTCTACTTTTATTTTTGTGTAGGGAAGAAAACCGGAGAACCCTGGCCGGAAAAAAAAACTTGCAAGCACATATTACGCATTGGTGAAAAAAGAGGCGTATTAGCATAGCACACCACCTGCGCTCTCTCTGGGCTTGACACACAAAGACCTCACTCAATCAATACTCGTCATCAGGTGAGTATCTTTTTAGCTACGAATCTGTAAGTGAAAAGGTCTTTACAAGTGTTACCTTCCTGTGTGTTAGAACACTGCACTTGTTTCCACAGTAACACAATGAATTTGACTTCCTTTTCTGCATGCAATCACCCCATGAATGCAATATATCCGTACTCGACTGAATGGGCAGTACAGTTTACTTATAAATTTACTTGTAATAGCACATTTGAACTTATTGAAAAAAAAGGAAAACAGTATATTAAACAATTTTTAACTTAGGCTATATATCGTTGAAGGTAGCTATTTACTAAATGTCTAGATTCAATTACTTTTGCCTCAGACTTCTTAGTGAAGGGCCACAAAATAAGCTTCCCGAAATTGACTAATTTCAAGAGGATATTAGCGGCAATTAAGATATTGAAATGAATACAATTTGACTGACGGGCATCTGGCAACTGGAGTTATATAACTGCTTCCAGAAACATATTTACCGCGCTCAAGTTTCCTCGTTGTTTCCCAGTTTAGCCACATGCGAAACATTGCTCCGTGCAGCAAATTTTGCTTCCAAAATATGTTTTTGCTGTGCGGCAGAAACATTTCATGTTTCCAAGACGCATGGAAACAATGTTTCTCGATGTTTCCTGACATTTTTGCCGCCTTAGGAAACATTTAGGGAAACATGTTTCCTCGTTTAGCCAGGGCCTTACGCTGGTTTCTACTTACAGTAAAGTCATATTTCAATATTGTTGTTTTTTTTACTTATTGATTCTCTATCCGAGGAATAGGTAAAACCTGATTGGCAAATTCAGCCTGTGTTTCTCAGTTAGAAGATGGCACTCATGACGATCCCACTTGTATAGGCAACTAGGAMAATTTAGTCATTATTTTTCGGTATATCATGCGAATTTGCTGTCTAAAGTCTTGTTTAGCAAATGAATAAATGAAAGGATTYGCAAGAGATGAGACTACTGAACCAATGATAAACAGTAGAATTGCCAAAGATGTATCATCATTGCCAGGGAGTCTAAATTGTTGAACTTCTTTAACAAAC